AGAGGGGGCAAGGAGGAGTACAGGGAGAGGGGAGGGGGCCCTGCTCTGCCTCTTTAACCTTGTAATCTGTTTACATGCAGCTGTAGCCAGTGAGATCTTGTAAAAACCCAAATCTCACCCTGTCCCTCGCCTGCTTAAAGTGCTCCCATGCTCTCCATCACCCTCTTCCCCATGGCTCCAAGATCCTCCAGGCAGGTCCTGCCTCCTCTGCTCATCCATGCTCCCACCATGCCAGGTCTCTGCCCTGGCAACACTTGCCCTAGCTCTTCCCGCTCATCTTTCACCTCCGCTTCAAAAGAAATCACATTCACTGGGGCCAGCCCGGTGGCGTAGTGGTTAAGTTCGCACGCTCCACTGCTGGCAGCCCGGATTTGGATCCCGGGCGTGCACCGACGCACCGCTTGTCAGGCCATGCTGTGGTGGCATCCCATATAAAGTAGAGGAACATGGGCACGGATGCTAGCCCAGGGCCAGTCTTCCTCAGCAAAAAGAGGAGGATTGGCATGGATGTTAGCTCAGGGCTGATCTTCTTCACACACAAAAAAGAGAAATCATGTTCACATACCACCCCCCCCCAGCTGCCTCCTGTGTCCTTTGGTAATTGCCTGATTCTGTCTCCCAAACAGGCACTTACATCCTGTGCTGAGGGGAGTGTGTGGGGAGGGCCTTTGTGCCCCTAACACCCTCTTTCCCATGGAGGTGGTGGACTGAAGGAGGCTCTAGGGAGACATCTGGGTTAAACATGGGTATAAAGATGCTTCATGAGGGTGTTGGGGCCACTTCCCAGTGTGTCCCCAGTCCTGGGCACGGGGCCTGGTACTGGCTAGTGCTCAGTGAGTGTGGAAGGAAGGACTTGTGGAAGGGCAGTCCTGCACTGCATCCAGAGAGGCCTGAGGGGGATGGTTCTGTGGCGCTCTTTCCTGGGCGTCTTGAGTCGCATGGGGGTCTGCCAGTGCAGGGGGCCGTGAGCTGTTTGCCAGCTTGAGGGACCTGTCATTATGGCCCACCCCTTCAGCTGTTGGGCAACCGGCTCCATCCTGCCCTGCCCCACTCCTCCCTATCCCTGGTGAAAGTTCTCACCCCTTCCGGGAGGCTCCGTTTCTGCAAAAACAAAGATAAACGCAGGGTCAGGCCAAGGCCAAGGCCGCCATGGCCTGGGAGCAGGCTCTGGGCTGAGGCCAGGGTTCAGGGTGATTTCCCCACACACACACCTTGAGGGGCCTCGGGACACAGGACCCACCCAGAGTCACAGGTCAGAGTAGGAAGGGCTCTGAATAGATGGGGAAACTGAGGTCCAGAGAGGGCAGATCTCCAGGTTACCCAGGGGAGCAGGACAGGGAGAACAAAGCCCAGCACTCTCTGCCCACCCACATACCCCAACCCACTCTGCCTAACCCAGAACACCCCCCACTACTGCAACCCCCCCCCCCCCCCCCCCAACGCTCAGCTCAGCCCCTCCAGCCTCTGCCCTGTCTCAGACACGGACCTTCACAGTCCCTTAGTGAGGTGAGCAGGTCATGGGGCATCACTCATTTGACAGGTGGGGGAAAGAGAGGCCCAGGGAGAATTAAGGGCCTTGCCCAGGGTTAGATGGCAGGTCTGGAGTCCAGTTCTTCCAACACCCAGCCCTCCTGCCTCCTCCTCAACCCACAGAGAGGACCGCCTAGCCTGGTGCCTCTGCCCATGTGACAGGCCCAGACAGTGAAGCGCCAGCTGACTTACTCCGAGCGGCCGGGAGGGGCTTCTCGGGAAGCCAGAGGCCGCCAAGCAGGAGAGCAGGGCCAAGATGAGGCAGGGCCACTGAGCAGGTGCCATTGCTGAGCACACAGGCCCAGCAGCGCTCCTTATATAAGTGAGCCTGGTGTTTTCCAAGTGGGGTCAGCGACCTGTAGCGGGGGACGGGAAGAGCGGAGGTGGCTGGCTCCTCCGGGAAGCTGGGGCATGGGTGGAGTAACAGCCCTGGATCTGCCTGTTCCAAGGGGGTTCAGTGGGTATTGTCCACAGGGTTAGGACTTCACCTCTGGCGGCTAGGGGACACGGAGGCCCCGGAGGAAGTGGAACCTGTGTTTTGGCAAATAGGCCCCAGGACTCCCTGAGTGGGGGCGATGGTGACAGGGTGTGGAGTCATGCTTAAAGCAAACAGCATCTTAGCATTGTTGCCTCTTACCTGCACCACAGACATGGCCTCTGGTCTGGCCTCCTGGATCGCAGCCCCCCTTCCTTCTCCAGGCAGCCAGTGCACAAAACCAGACCCATCACCCTGAGGTTCAGAGCTCCGTGGCTGAACCTCTTGCTCCTTACCCTTCAGTTCCCATGGCCCCAGGGAAAAGACAAACCCCAAGTCCTGGAGTCCAGCTGTCTCTGCGATCTGGCTCCAACTTGCTTTTCTGAACTTACTCTCTTTCCACTGGCATGCCCTCCCCTTCTCTGCACATCGCACCTCTCATCTCTGCCGGCCCCTGTGTCCCTCTCTAGAAGCCTTCCTCTTTTGTCCCCTCTTTTGACCACAGGGAGCCCTGATACAAACTCCAAGCTCCCTGAGGGCCTGCTCCATCATTACCTTTTGTTGAGGTTTGTGTATCTGGATCTGATCGCTCCCACTAGACTCCAAGCTCCTGGCAGGCCAGGCCATGTCACGTTCATGTTCCCAGGGCCTGACCAGGGACTCAGCTGCCCTCGGTCTCTTGGAGAGTCATTCCCCCAGAAGTCTCCAGTAAGGCTGGAGCTCTGGCCTCCGGGACAATGGGAGGTTCAGAGGCAGGGTCTGGTCCCCATCTAGTGTTAGCTGGGACCTCCTGGGCCATACCAGGGTTCTGCCAGCCCCCAGACCTTCCAGGATAGCCACCAGCTGCCTGCCATACCCATGCTCTTCCGAGCAAAGTGACCCAGTGACCCTCCCACTCAGCAATGACTGAATGGAGTTGATGAGGATGCCTGGGGATGGGGCAGCTAATTGGTGGGCTGTAGCATGGCCTTGCCTGAAAGCTCTGCACCTCACTGTGAGATGTACAGAGAGAATTGACTGCTGGGAGCAGAGAAACAGCGAGAAGGCAGAAAGCAGAAGTTCTGAGGCAGCAGAAGCCACGAAGAGGGAATGGATTAGTGATTAGAAGTGGCAGGAGCCACAGAAACAATGACAGAGAGTTGCCAAGTCAGCAGAACGATGGCGGACCAACAGCTGCAGCTGCTGAGATGGTGACTGCCTGTGCTTGAGGCCTGGCTGGGGGCGCCTGCTCCCCTCGGGCCTCCTGAGTCCTTACACCAACCACTGCTGGCGGTGGACACCAAGCTTAGGGCTGATTGAGGCCCAACCTAGCAGGTTCTGACACCTGGGAGCAGAGAGGAGACCCCTGTCAGAGCTGCGCCACCAAGCCCTGCAGTCTGGCCTTGAGTTTCCTGGCTCTCAGGACATCTTGTTTGTGGTCATTTTCAGTGCCTGTGGTCCCTGACCACTGGGCAGCTTGGGGCTGTGGCAGAACTACTGTCCTGCCAACTTTGCCCGATGGCTCCTCCTCGTGGCCCTGCAGCTGCCTACGGAGCTTCCCCCAGCCCCTTTCCTCTAGGCTAACGCCTCATCCCCAGATACTTGGAGTTTTGTGGGAGAAACAACTTGAAATAGGAATTCTGAGGCTGCTCAAGAGGCCCCTGAGGGACAGCTGGGGACTTGGAGGGACCCAGAGTCATCATGCATAACTTAGAATGAGATGGAATCTAAGAGATCTTCAAGGTTCACCCCATTTCTGCTCTGTAGGAGGGGAAAATGAGGCCCCAATTGGGCAGGGCCTTGCTCAGGGTGACCAGCCAGCTGGCAGCCCATGGCTCCCCCTTGAGAAGCCCAGGATACTCCAGACCATGGGCTGGTTTCTGAAATTCCATTAGCCGCCACTTTCCATAGCCTGCTGCCGAGGCCTCTGTGTTCCCTGGGCCTAGGGCAGCCCTGGAGCTCAGCATTTGTGTTATTGATCTGGGCCCTCATGGGCATCATTTGGAGTGGGAACTGGACATACGCTAGCAGAGAAAAAGTAGAAACCCTCTGGAAAGGAGTAGGTGCAGGCCCATCGACCTCCACCCGAAGGGCCAGTGGCTCCTGAAAGTGTAGGTTCATCTCTCCCCATCCTGTGACATCGCATTTTAACTGGGCCCCAAGGGGAAGCCAAGGAAAGGAGCCCCGGAGGGATAATTCCAGGGGTCTGTGTGAGGAGCCAGTGGGCTGCTATTCCTGCCCCCTGAAATCACAGCTTCTGGGCAGTGGCTGTCTCTGCCTCTGTCAGAGGCTGCAAACCCCCAGCTGGGCAATCAAGCTGAGGGTGGAGGCACGGGAACTGCCCCCTGAGGCCCTGGCTCCTACGGGTGCAGCCTCCAGCTCCTAGTAGGACTTCTTCAGGACCCTAGGTCCATATATATTTCATATGCTTCTTTCATATGTTCATTTTAAGTGATAGTTTGGAATATCTAACCAAATCCCAACAGGCTTTAGCCAGCAGCTGCCCAGCCTGACTGGAGTATTTACATGGGAATGGTTAAAAACACAGATACTGACACAGACAGCATGTGTTCAAATCCCAGCTCTGCTACTTATAAGATGAGGGATTTTGGACAAATTACCTAACCTCAGTTTCCTCAGCTGTAAATGGGCATGATAAAAGCATCCCCAGGCCTGTTGGAAGCAGATTTAGTTAACTCAATTAAGGCTGCTAGAACAGTGCCTGGCTGCAGGAAGTGCTGAGTCAGCTGTGGCTGTGGCTGGTCGTTCCCGTACATGCTGCCAGAGTGTCCTTTGATCCCTGGACCCGTCGGGGGAGCTATGTGCAGGGGACCTAGGGGCACTCAGAGGGCAAGGGGCCAGGCAACTGCAGAGAACAAGGTGGGATAGGGGCCGAGTTGGCGTGGGCTCCCTCCCATCCTCCAGGTCTGCTGTGACCCCTGAGCCCTTTTGATGGGCAGCATCTTGGGTTGCCTCCCTGCCATTCTCCCTCCCAAAAAGCAGCCAGCCTGGACTGGACATAGTGTCTCTTTAATGGAAGCGTGGGTGTGCTTTGACCCAGGGAACCATCTTGGACAGGGAGATGTGGCCTGGGCAGAAAGTCAGGATGCTGTCCTCTTCCTCTGCCGTGGTCCCAAGGGAGGACAGGTGTGCTGGCAAGGGGGTTCAGAAGATGTCAGGGACGATATAGTCAGTGTGAACGCCGTCAATCAGCCCGGCTCCGTTGTTGTGGACGAACCAGCAGGTCACCTCCGCCCCATGCCGGGGGTCCTTGCTGTAGTCTTTTTGCAAGCCCCTGGGGAGAGACAGGTCAGCTGGGATCAGCTTTTGGACCTAGCAGAGCTGCACCTCCCCAGGAAACCCACCCCACACACGTGACACCTGGAGGAAGGCCTGGACCAACAATGCAGAATGCCAAGGGCAGAGATGCTGGGAGAGCAGCCCACCTACCTGGTGACCGTCAGCTGGTGGTTCTTCACCACCATTGTGGCATCTGTCTTTGTGGGGTCGGAGCCTGGGTGGAGGTCGGACACTTTATAATCAAAGGGGTGGAAGAATTGTCCTGGAAAGGTACATTGGAGGCAGTGGTTACCGTTAGGGGGCCTTGCTGCTGCCTTGCACTCAGTAGGTGCTCACTGGAGGTTTAGAGAGTTGCTTGAACATTTTTTTCAAAGGCTTGACTATTTCTAATGAATTTTGGCATCAAAAGCCACCTTTAGTTCACCTGCTATAGAGGAGCACATACATTGCCATTTGGTTGAACCTCCTGTCTTTTTTGGACTAATTCCAAAGGAACCTGGCTGGGGAGAGAGTTTTGAGGGGTAGGTGCCCATAGAGAGCAGGGCCCGCAGGAAGGCCACAAGAAGTAGCAGTGTGGCCAATGACTCCTCCTACCCAGGAGGTCTCTGGGAGCCCACAGGAACTTTCTGTTTGCTAATCGGACCTCTCCCCACTGGGTCCCAGGCTCACTTAAGCTTTAGTTTCACTGTGTGTTTGACTGCAGCCTTTTTGAGGGACAAGACCCTCACCAGGACAGTCCTTCTTTGGAGCTCTGAGCCTTGGAGGCTACGTTGGAGGTGAGCCTGTCCTGGTACCCAGCTGCAAAGCTGACCCTTGGCGAATCCACTGACTTCAACACCCCACCCCAGAGCTCTGCCCGCCTGGCCGGCTGTACCCAGCAGCCCGTGCGTCCTCGTTGACATCTGGTGACTATCCAGCACGTAGAAGCCCAGGAAGTCCTGGTGACTCTCCTTCCACACTTGGTGCAGAACGACCTCAAATGTGCCCCCATCCTCCACGGATACTACCAGGTTCCTCTTCCTGTTGATGGTCACCACCACCCTGCAGGGCCAGGTGGCCATGAGGACAGGTGCAGCTGCACTGCACCTCTCTCCATTCAGCTGCCCTCGTCCTCTAGGACTCAGCTCTTATGACCCCCCTACCCTCACACGCAGATGGTTGGATGTTACCTACTCCATGCTCCTCCCCACATGTTGCTATTGTGTATGGGGCCCTTGCAATGTGCTAGGCCCTCTGTCCAGCCCTCCATGCAAATTGCATCATTCAAGTCTCACTCTGATCCTGTGAGGACTGAGGCTCAGAGAGGTTAAGTAACTTGACCAAAGTCACACATCTGGTAAGTGGCAAAGCCAGACTTGGACTCTAGCCTGTCTAATATCAGAATCTGCGTTCTTTGACTCCCTTTCATCATCTGTCTCCTCCACACCAGACTCTGCCCACCTCTTCCTGTAGCCCAGCATTGAGCTCTGGTACTCGGCAGAATGAATGAATGAGTGAATGAATGAAGAAACAAACATGAGACAAGGCATACTAAGATAGGGAAGAGAAAGAGAAGAAAGAAAGAGAAGCCCAGAGAACTCTGGAGATCAGCAGAGGAAGAGACTAGGAGGGCTTCAGGGAAGAGGTGGCCTTCGTGCTGGGCCTAGAGGATGAGTCGGCTTTGTTTGGTGGAGATGGAGGTGGACTGCAGGGCGAGGGCGCCATGAGAACACAGGCATCCAGGCAGCAGGGCCCCAAGCACGTGTCCAGAAACCAAGGGAAATGAAAGGAGTGGTCCACAGGGTCTGACATGTCTGCACAGCCCACACAGAGGCCACAGGGACGTCACTCACTGACACGGCTCAGGGGATGAGGGCCTGGCAGGCTCAGGCAGTGGAGCTGGCTCTGGGGTGGGCCCTCACGGCACCTACCACCGCCTCCCCTCCCAGGCCCCAGCCCCAGCCCGGTTACTCGTCCTGCCGCAGCAAAGCCTGGTCCCTCCAGGAGAACATGGGCCCGCCAGAGCCAGGGTTCAGCGTAATGTTCTGAGGAGTCACTTCCAGCTGAAAGCCCGTTGCAGGGTTTGCGATCCCCAGCCGCCCGAAGTATGTGATCTCATGCTGCCCAGGGCTCCCGGCCCTGTTGCCAATGAGTTGCCCATTCACTGAGAAGCCTGCAGAGGGGTGAGGAGCCATCCAGGTCTGGGAGGGGCCAGCTCTAGCTAGACCCCCACCAGCCTGCCTTTGCTCATGCTGTGCCTCCCTCCTGTGAGACCCCCCACACTTTACCCATGCCATGCCTCTTTGAGGATTTCACCTCCCGAGGGGGCCTTCAGGACCGGTACAGGTCACACCCAGCATCACCCACCTCCCCTCCCGTCTTGCCACACTAACTATCTGGTACTTGGCCCTTGGTTCTGGGCCTTGAAGGAGGTCTTGCCTTGCCGAAGACAGGATTGGGCATGCACCTTCTCTGGGGCCCCAACTAGCCCCACACAGGGGCAGGCCGCAGCAGGCACTGCAGACGAGTTTGCAGGGCCGCTTCACAGGGGCCTCCTCCGACCTGAGCAGCCAAAAAGCCCCCTCCCTGTCTTCCATCCCAACACAGCACGTCTCATGCTTTGAAACCGTCATCTAAGAATTTGTTCACTTTTGTCTCCCTTCCACAAGAGCAGGGACTTCGTCTCGGGTCCCCTTGCACCCCCGGCCCTAGCAGGTGCTCAACAGACATTTGCAGATGGCACGACTGGACTGGGAGCTGGGGAGGAGTAGTCGAGAGAGGGAGAGGGAGTCAATCCTGTCACCTGAGCACTCCCGGGGGGCTGGACTCGGAGGGTCCCTCAGCCATGCTGAGGGGAAAGGTGGGGGAAGCACTGCTACATGATTTGCAGGACTCAGTACAAAATGAACATGAGGGCCCCTTGTTCAAAAATTGTTAAGAATTTCAAGATGGCAACAGCAGAGCATTAAACTAAATATGGGGCCCTTCTAAGTGTAGGGTCGCCTGCATGGGTCATGCACCCATGAAGCAGGCCCTGCATAGGGCCCAGGCAGGTGGATGGGACGAGAAGGAGGCAGGTTGAGCCAAGCCAGGTGACTGGTGCACAGCCTGTGAGGAGTGGACACTACCATCACTGTCCTGTCCGTGGCTGAATGTCGAGCATCCCAGGCCCTGCTCTGTCTGGCAGAGGACATGATGTCACTCATACCTGTGTCGGGGTCCTGCACCAGGCTCAGGACCACACCAGGTTCCTCGTTGATATTGAAGCACAGGCTGTCCTCTTTCTGGGGCACGTGGATGATGAAGTGTGGGTCAGTGTCCACTGGGGGCACAGCATGGGGTCCGTTAGATTGGACATCGGGCAGATGGGGCCAGCTGAGGGCAAGGGTTCAACCAGGCAGCGGTGTCCCTCAGACCATCCCAAGGACTCACCGCCAGTCACTCGGCTTGGCAACTGCTGGACATTGGAGCTGGGGTGAGTTGGAGAAGGCTGCAAGGCGGACAGCACGAACGCTGACAGGCGAGGGGGAATGGCATTTAGAAGGAAGGTGGCTGGGGCTTTACTGGAGCTGCTGGCTCCTTTTCCGAGGCCCCTCCCACCCAGGCGGGCTGGCCTGAGGCCACAGGAGCAGGAGTGGACACAGAGCCCTTGATGCCTCTCGGGATGTGGAAACAGAAGTTTGACCCAGCGCAGTGGGCTGGCCTCCTCTGTCTCCTTCCATGGGTCCCTGGTGGGGCTGGTGGCATAAGGGTGGGGAAGGCCAGGCCCACGTCAGGGGAACCATTCTGAGGATTACCGGTAAGAAGCAGTGAGGAGAGGTGGAGCGGAGGAAGGAAGCCTGGGGCTGTCCTTTCCTCATCAGGCAAGTGGGGTGATAACCTAGGGGCTCTGCTCAGGACCAAACACACAGCCTGAAGGGACAGCAAGGTGGAGAGTAGAGAGGTAGAGATGTACATCGTCGGAATGGCTGCCACTTACTTTTTCTGTGTCCCTGCATCTCTGTAGAGGATGATGACAGAGAACGAAGTCACCCTCAGCACTCCTTGTGAAAGGCACACGCCTCATTCCCCAAGTGTACCCCAGGCCCAGAGGCCAATCAGGCCTGGGCAAGCCCTCCTCCTGGGGGTCCCAGCCCTCCCCCAGGACCTCAGCTCCTTGCAGACACACGCTCACATGGAAGACTCAGAAGGAGGCCAGTGGGGTGGCGGGCGGGGGGGTGGTTCAGGGTGTGCAAGGGCTCCCCAAGCACACAGGAGGCAGCAACTAGTTGGGGGCCAAGTGGGGAAGGGCATCTCGGGGAAGGAAGAGACGATGAAGGGGTAGAGGCAGGAGAGATGTTGGATTGGGGAGCTATGCCTGGGGGCTGGAGCACTTGCCCCAGGAAGCCCCTCAAGAAAACTAATGTGATTTAACACTCACCCAAGGGCAGAGAATCTGGAAGGGAGAGAAAGGGAAGAGAATTAAAGCCCAGGAGATTTTTGGCCCTCAGAAGCCTCCTCACTGCCCACAGCCTCCCCTTCTGCAGAGCCCATACCCTCCGGGGGCTTGTCAATGATGGGCTTCAAGCCGTCCTGGTCTTCCATGCCCCTGATGGTCATGGAGGTCAGCGGGGTCACGAACTGATAGGCCAGCGACATCTGCAGGGCCTTGGCCGACAGGTTGGCCTTCTCCTTCCCCTCTAACTTCATCCTGCAAGACAGATAGTGGCTCCAAGCCCCGCAGCTTGGACGACAATGGACTCGCACTCCCTCATCCTTTCACTCATTTGTTCACTCATTCACTCAGTCAACAAACACGTATTAGCACCTGCAGTGCCCTCATTCAGTGGCTGTCTTCAAAGACCTCACGATTTAAAGACCTCTCACAGAGAAAACCTGGAGATTTGGCAGGGTTAGGGGATGTGCCTCAGAAATACACAGTTCATTTAACAGTTGTGAGATTTTGGGCAAGCAGTCTAACCTCTCTGAGCCTCAGTTTGCTTGTTTGTTAAATGGGGATAAAGAGGAAATTCTCCTGCACACTGTGAGGATTAAATGGGTGTGTCTGGACACAGCAGCCCCACAGTAAAGGGCAGCTTCCCGCACAGCAGCTCAGTCGGGGCAAACAGTGAGCTGCCCTGTGCCCCCCGTGGGCCCTGCCTACACTATTGACTGACTGGTTGATATTAACTCGGTGAGCAAAGCAGAAGGACAGTAAATCTGACCCACTCGCAACCTCGAAGGCCCAGAACTGCCCCTTCTCTGTGCACCTCATGGGTCCAAAGGCCCCGGGGTGGGGGTGCTCTGGCGTGGACGGTGCCCACCCCGGCCAGCTGCAGTGGTCAAGTCATACCGCTTGGCCAGCAGCTCCTGGATGGTGAGGTAGGCCCAGAGGCGTTCGACATGGTTCTCCAGCATGTGGCCCCGCTCTTGGAGCAGTTTCTTCATCTCTCCCTCATCCACCAGGCAGGTTGTCTTGAATTCTCGGCCCTCCTGAGGATTGTGACGGGGAGAGAGGCCGTGCGCCAGGAGGAGCACAACTGCTGGCTGGTGCTCAAGGCTCCAAGGGGCCTCACCATTGTCTGGACTCTGCAGCTTCCTTCTTAGCACACCCCCCTTTCCTGAGCCTGCTCCCCTCATTCTCACTCATCCGTTCATTTCACAAAAGCTTGCTGAGCACCTTCTGTGAGCCAAGTTGGCCTAGCTGCTGGGGATCCCACGGATGGGAGGACCCAGGCCCTGACCTCATGGAATTACTCTCTCTGGGGGATGCCAACAAGCATCCAGCTGCTTCCACCATGTAGTTGTTTCCACCATGCCCCGCCCCTCCAAATGCTCACCACCTCTCCAAGGGGTGGCACCATTCAACTTGCCACAGCACACGAATGTGCCTTCTCTCCCCAGCTACAATAATGGGGGCACCACTTCCCAAGGGCATCCCATGCACCAAGCACTGCATAAACATGGACTATTTCATTTACTCCACACAACTCTCCAATGCAGTATTATCCCTTGTGGTACAGAAAAGGAAACTGAGGCCTAGAGAGCTGGACCCATTTGCTCAAGGTCACCCAGCTGGTCAGGGTGCAGCCAGGGTCCAGCTCACCTCTCCTCACACAAAGCCCGAGATCTGAACCCTCAACCACACTGCAGGGCTCAAGTCCACGCCCTGTAGGGCAGGCTCTAGGTCTCACATGCCCATGACCCACCAGCGTGCATATGCACACATACACTGCACCATGGCACAAAGCTGGGTGCACATACGGTGTTCAGGAAATGGTTGTCAAGTGAGAAGGGAAAGGCTGGTCTCTTGCTCTCTCATGCCTTGGAGGAAATGACGTGAGGAGTAACAAGTGGTCCACTTTATGCCGATTGAACTACAACGAACCAAGGTCACCTTGGCCCCATTCCAGCTTGTCCAGCCCCCTAGGATGCCTGTGTGGAGGAATGTTCAAGCCTAGGGGCAGGGGTGGCGGGTAGCACAGTGCACGGGTAGAGGCACTACTCTGGAGAAAGAAAGGCCCCCAGGGGTAGAGAGGGGTGGGGAACAGTGTGGGTTGGGAGCCCCTGGGCACTGCCTGGCTTCCCCACCCTCCGCAGCCCACTATTTACCCCACGGGCCTGTATGTCAGCCTTGAAGCTGCTCAGTTTACGGTCAGCAATGCGCCCAGCCACCACGATCTCCGAGCCTTCGTAGTACTGTTTATGGCGGTGCTGGGTCAGGGCTGAGACAGCGTTCTGGGGATATTGCAACTCCACATCCACCAGCAAGGGGGTGGCTACCTGGTCGTAGAAACCCTGTAGAGGCGGGGGGCACAGCCTCAGAACTGATCTGGGCACCCAATGGGAAACCCACTCATAAAGGGAGGTGTCATGATCCCCACTTTATAGAGGAATCACAGGCTCAGAGGGGTACAGTAACTGGCTTGAGGTCATGCAGCTAATTCGAACCCCATGCCAGGGTTTTATCGGCTCCTCTAGGCTGATGTGCCAATGGTTGCCAAGTCTGGATGCCCCATGGCATGGCATTGGTGGTGCATTGGGGGGTCAGGGGTGGAGGAGGGGACCTGCAGCTGCTGGGCAGCATCATGGTCCTCGTAGATTCTCTCGGCTCGTCCATTGTTCTCCATGGACATGACCTCCAGGAAGTTGAAGTCCACATCCCGGCCGAAGCCCAAGTTGTAGAGTGGGAACTTGCCCCCGATGGCATTGCGGACATTCTTGAGGATTTGAGACCGGTCCGTCACCCCTGCAGCCACACACCCAGGTAGTGACAGGGTACCGGCTCACAGGCACGTGGGGCACGAAAGGACATTGGGGCACACTCCCTGGGGGTCAAGCCTCCCGTCTCAGGTCACCTCCAGTCTCGACTGGCACCTTGAGGCAGCACCTCCTGCTGGCTAAGCTGGGTGACTGCAACAACTGCTAACAGCTCCTCACAGACCTTGCCCTTCTACAGGGATCTGTCACAAGCAGATCTGATTCTGCCCTAAACCCTCCCATGATTCCTTGCCGTGGCCTGTGAGGCCCTAATGACTTTTCCACCCTTGTTTCACCTCTTCTGCACATGCTTGCTGTTCCTGGGCAGGCTCTGTCAGCACACAAACCTGTTTTTGCTCAAGCTGCCCCTCTGCCAAGGATCCCTTCCTGCTTCTCCTCTCCTCCTTCCAGACTGAGCTCAGGGGTCACCTCCTCAGGAGGCCTTCTGAGACCCTGCCTGGGCCAGACACCCCTTGGCCGTGAGCCCACAGCCTCCTGGCATCCTGTTCTTTCAGGGCCCTCGACAGAGCATCTGCTCCTGACTCTGCCTCCCCCAGGAGACCCTTGGCTCCTTAAGGGCAGAGACATGTCTTGTTCTTTTGGTATCTCTTCTTGGTCCCTAGCCCTGTGCTTGGCACACAGGTCAGTGCTGAATACATAGTTCATTAAACTCAACCTAGGAATCCTGCCCGTCCTCCTGGGCCCAGTGCAACCCTGTGTCATGCAGCAACATCCCCAATTTCCCAACACAGGACAGAAGTAAGCCCTGGAGCTCCTGCAGAGTTTAGGGCCTGAACTCTGTGTTTAGACCAGTGCTTGACTTTGTCTTGAGCCCTTCTGCCCCTGACAGCATCCTCGGTGGCTGGGTTTCCAAGATCAGCTTGAATGCCTTTGGTAATGAAGAGATCACCACCTCCTAAGATGGTGTCAAGGTGCTTACCCTCTGTGGGCTCGCCGTCTGTCAACATGATGAGAATTGGGGCATGGTTGCTGACTTCCGGGAGGCTTCCCTGAGCTTTGTTCAAGATCTCAATTCCCTGGAGCAAACCTCCATTCAGGTTTGTAGCTGCAAAGGAGAGAAAGCAGACCAGTGTATGCCCTCATTCTCAGGGGCCAGAGGAAGGCCGAGGTGGCCTGAGACCCCTGCCCTTACAGCCAGCCAGGTTGAAGTGCCGCACGAAGTCCTGAGCTGCTTGCAGATTGGCTGCAGATGCCTGCACCAGTGAGCCCCTCCATGACTGCACTTCAGACCCAAAGAGGACCAGGTCGAAATAGTCCCCTGGCCGAATGTCCTCCAGGATTTTAAGGAGCGCCTCCTTGGTCTGTAAGGACAAGACAGTCAGTGCTGGGACACGACCCCAAGAATAGTGCCTCCTGTCAGCTCCAGACACCCATTTCAGAGATCCACAGTGGGGAGGTACATGGTGGATGATCAGGAGGGGATGCACAGAACAGCCGGGTGGTGCTAGGTGAGGAGCCTCCTGCCGGGCCCTGGGAGTGTATGAGGGGGATGGAGAAGGCAAAGGGACCCAGCACCAGGAGAAAAAATGACCGAGAGTTCGAGTTGGGCAGGATTAAGAAAGAGGACCCTAGGGGGCTGAGTTTCTAAATCTCTGCTTGTCCAGCCGTGGTCTCACTGCCCCATGTTCAGGGCAGTTGGAGCACTGTGGATAGTGGGCTCTGCCCTGCTGCAAGATGCCTCCCCATGGACAGCCATAATTATCCCCAGCACTTTCAGTGTCCAGGGTTCATCTTCCAAGCACCCTCCATCGATAAACCCCATGACCCTGTGGGCACTGTTACTAGTCCCACCGTTGCCTTTGAGGAGAAGTAAATGCACTTGCCCACAGGTGCGCAGTGAGAAAGTACAGCAGCTGACTCCAAGCCCCTAGCTGGGATTTCCTGTTAAATCACCCTGCCTCTGACCAGGAGCAGAAATCCCAAACCCAGACTCTGGGGGCAAAACCAGTGTGGGGTCAGTGATGGGGCTGAAGAAGCTTCTGCTGGGTGAACTATGTAAAGACACAGTTGACCTGCTTCACTTTCTGGCCTTGCATGGAGGAGCTGATGTCAATCACAAAAACCAGGCTCTTGTTCAGGTTTGTCAGGTTTTGGGGGGCAAAGAAGTGGGCAAAGTGGTTATTGGCGACCTGAAACACAAAGATCACAACACACGAGTGAGGCCTTTCTCACAAGCACCCCTGGCCGCCCTCTGAATCTTAGGCCAGAAGCTTCAGGCTTACCAGGAGTTCGCAGAGCGTGTCTCGATTAACATCGTAGGTCACCTTGAAGTCCCCATTCAGCAAGGATGTGGAGCATGTGGGGCAGGATTGCTGCTGGCCCACAGTGGGGTGGAAAAGCACATGACCCTGTAACCATTGAGGGTGGGAGGCATGACTGGTTTGTGCAGCCGTAAACAGGATGTTTGCAAAGACAACATAAGGGGTATGTGTGTGTGTGTACATGTGCACATGTGTGTGTGTTGCATGGGCATAGAAATGAGTCTGGGAGTCTGGTCACCCAGCTGCTGAGAGTGCACACCCGTAGGTTGTAGGAGAGAAGACCTGTTCTTTCTTATATGCTTCTGAATCATTGGGATTTTTTACAATAACTATCACCACTTTGGGTGCAAAATAAAAACAAAATAATAGCAGTATGAGAGCATGAGAGATGTCAGTCAACTCAAACCGTCTAGTGAAAAAACAAGGCTACGAAACTGTGCTGGACAATAGAACCCACCTAGGTAGACAAAGGGCAGAGGCCGGAAGGAAGGGCCCGGAGACGGGGCTGAGGTCTGGTGTTGACTTGGTGTCATGCTCAGGGAAATCGGGGATGGTTTTAACTCGATACTTTTCTGTACTTCTGTACTTTCCACATTTATTTAAAGAATTTTTTATTTTTACTTTTTGTTTGTTATATAAGTAAGATATGCTCATTAAAAAAAAAAAAAACTTGAAAAGAATTGTTAGGAAGACAAAACCCATCCCCTTGGTTTGCTACTGAAAGCAAGCATGTTTGCTAGTACTCTGGGGTATCATATTTTTTTTAAAGGAAACCTCTAAAACCGTAAGAAATATGTCCTTTAAGTGAATTGTTATGGAGTCACTACCAAAGGGAGTGGGAGCTAAAGGGTTTGCTCCTGGGCTCCAGTTGAGGACGAGTTAGGAAGCAGGGCACTAGCTGGGCATCACCCACCCATATGCCACACTCCTCCAGGACCTGGGCTAGGAGCAAGCAGGGGGCTTCTGGGATTCCTGCAAATGGGTGACGAGTGACAAGTGGCAAGTAGCTGGGTAGGCCAAAGGCCTTTCCAAACTTAATTATGTTTCCAAGAACTCTGTAGCTTGGAATCCTAACCACAACAGCATCTGAGGTTTGCTCATGTGCCCTATATTTCCCTGAATGCTCTCCCCTGGGTGTGAGACAGGGAAAGAGGAAACCGAGGCTCAAGCAAGCCAGCAACTCACCCTAGACCACACAACTGGTGTGGGCACCTTCCTCAGCCTCAGCATGCAGGCTTTTGCTAAGTTGCTCTGAGAACCAGGGGTGCTGAGTTCCCCTGGCACACCAACCACAAAACATCTGCCTCTCTCACCCCAAGGGCAGCCTGCAGCCCCTGCCTGGTTCCTAGGCCGAGCCTGGACATTCCATAAGGGGATGGGCCAAGCTGAGAAGTCCCGGGAGGGCCTGCCACCACCCCAGCCATCCCATGCACCTTTTTCCCTGAGAAGGACTTCTTGACGAGTTGGGTCGCCAGTTCTTTGGGGAGGAAGGAGGCCTGGGCATCCAGCTTGCTGATCCCCTGGGGCTCAAAGATGTCCACGTCGATCTGCACCATTGAAACAATCCCTGCACCAAGGCTCCCATTCGGGCCATCATCAAGTCTCAGCCAAGAGCCAACATGTGTCCTGGCCACTTACTGTGTGCAGTGCCCTCCTAGCCCTTAGCACATGGCCTGGCATGTCATAGGCACTCCAAAAATACTGGACCAGTGAAGGTGTGCCTGCCTGTGCCTTTCAACTCGGCCACCACTGAAGTGCCAGTGACAATCACAGCCCCTCAGGCTGCCCAGGACTTTCTGGTTTACAATCTACCTGGACATTCAATATCTCTCGTGATCCTTGTGGCAGTCCTGGGACACGCAGGGATCCCCATTTAACAGATGAGCAAGCCGAGGTTCAGAGAGGAGGAAGAGGAGGTTCGAGGGTTCAGGGAGCTCCCAGCCCAAAAGAGCCCAGAGAAGCCCATCCCAAGGAGTCAGTGTGTGCTCAGGCCTGAGATGGCACACGGTGGGTGCCAAACCAGTGCTTGGAGCCACCCCGAGAGAGAGGCAGGAGCCCTGCTCCTGAGACCGCTCCCCTGTGTGCGGTCACCTGCAATCTACCTCAAAATGATGCACCAGCTGCCTGGGCTTGACTTTGATGACAATGTCGTACTGCATAAGTTTTCGCTTCAGCACCTCCTCGTAGGTCAGCTGGAACGTGGCCTTGCTCCGGGGACCAACGGTGATGTGGATGGCGAATTGCTCCATTGTTCTCCCTGAGGCCCTGGACATGCCACCAGAGGCAACAACAAACAGACAAATGGTAAGAGACATGTAGGTCCTTGTCACCTAAAGCATGGCCCTCAGAATCAATTTCTCTTATTTTAGTGCTGCTCTCAGGTTTCCTTTACTCTCACCCTTGTCTTAGTTGGCTGGTCAAGGTCAGGGCCCAAGGACAGGGCCCCACTTCTCCTGGAGGCTGGTCTGGGAGATGGGCAAGTCAACACCAACCTTGTCCAGGGCATTTGGGTTTGCGCAGTTTGCTCACTTCCCATTAGCCCGGGGCTGCTTTCTACCCAAGGCCACCTTCCAGCCCTCAGATCTGTCCTGGCTGGGGAAGGCAGCCCCAGACACTGGGCCAGTGGGTTCCAGAACTCACCTGACAAGGCCGGCATTCTCTCCTGAGATAGCTGCTTTCCGGTATTGCTTCCACGCAGTCACTTTGTCCTTTATGTCCCCGACAAATGTGTGTCCATCTGCTGTGCTGTGGGGAGGAAGAAACCCTCAGGGGAGGTGCCTCTCCCTGACCACACAAGTCCTTCATATTGGAGGTGCTCCCAGCCCAAACCCTGAGAAGGCTCTGTCCAGGTGAGCACTCATGGGAGGGCTTCCCCTGCTGGCCTCCCACTCCCTACAGAGTTACTTAGGGGCCCCATGGCAGTGAGGTGGGCAGCCACGGGCATTAAATCCAGCAAGAAGCCTTGGGTGCCAGCCTTTGCTCCTTGGGCTCTAGGCTGAAAACATACTGTCAAAGGCCCCAGTTTGCTCCTCAGGATAGGAGCCCAGAACAGACCTAAAGAGCTTGTTCTTCCCCTCAGAGCTGGAGCAGGCCTGCGGCCCTTTGGGAGATGAGGAAGAGATGGTCTGCACTGTCTGGCCCCTCTGAGTCTTGGGCTTGGGCTGGGCCTGGTGAAGGGACAGCTCTGGGTGTGGGAGTCAGGCAGGGCACGCACATGGCAAAGTCACTGATGAAGGCCGTGTTGGGGATCTCCACATCGAAGCCCACTTCCTTGGCTTCGTCAGCGCTGTTGACCACTTGGCTGGTGATGACATAGTGGGCAAAGCGAGAGGTGACTTTGCAGTTGACTTTCAAACTCCGGATGATCACGCCGTTGACGGTCTAAAGTGAGATGTGAGGGAGGTGTGGCCTGGGATAGGGGCCTCTGAGCCTGACAGAGACCTCCATGTTGTACTGGGGCTCAGCACCCAGCTCTGACACAAGGTGCCTAAAGAACAGACCAGACCTCCTGGGAAGACCCATTCTGTCTTCTCAGCATGAGACTGTGCAGTGGGGTGTGAGGTGGGATGGGAAAGCCCCCATTTCCGGGAGATGGGAGTCCTTCCCAGGCACTAACAGAGGGGCACACTCCCAAGGGAGGGGGAAAACAAGGCAGTAATAATGGCCCCACCATAGACCCCTTTGCAGAGGCTCTCACTCACTGGGTCTACAGCCTGTCGCTTCTGTAAAACAAACTAGGTACAAGTGTGAGTGTGAATGCTCAGGGGCCTACAGACTATTTGTTACAGGATGGGAGTGGGACACAGTCTGTGTCCTCTGCCCTTGGCCTCACCTCTCCAGTCAGAGGTGGTCATGGTAGGTGGGGGTGGCCCCAGCCCCTGGGGTAAGAGTCTTGTGTCTCTCCCAGGCCTGATCGAGGCCCAGCTACCCGTTTCTGCCCCGAGGGTTTACCCACATACCTCGCTGCCTTTGGGCCTGCCTGTGGGTGAACCCTGAGCGGGCACAGCCTGCAGGGCCAGGAGGGGTGCCACGTACATGCACAGCAGCACCCGCAGCCCCATGGTGCCGTCCATGGTCTCCAGGCTCCCGCTGCCTTGTCACTTCACTCAGGCCATTAATCAATAAAGTGCTGGATAAACACGGATTAAACATTAGACAAGGTGAAGGCAAATACTACAGTTTGGAGGATCAAAAAATGGCAGTGAAAGCTTTCTCCTCGGGGGGATGCTCAGCTGTGTAAACTCCTGACCAGACTCAGACTGTGCCCCTCTGTATAGAACTGCACTCAGCCAACGTGAATTGTGAAGACCCTGACAGTTCATCTAATCCCGGGTCTGGCACAGGGCAACACCATTGATACGGTGACATGTGGCAAGAAGCCCCAGTTAAAAACGGATTTCTAAACTTCATTATGTGTCACTTTCAAAATTCTTTAAGCATCAACAAACTTTTCAGACAGTCACACTTTGGCCAGGGAGGCAGATCCTGTGACTTAGAAAGTGTCTGCCCACGTCCATGATTCTGACGGTTCCAACTCTAGCAGTAGTTCTGCCGGAGCATTCTGGGCAGCCCTGGTAACGTGTAATGGGTGACCTGTGCTTTAGGACAGTTGCTTCATCTCTCTGGACCTTGCTCAGATTTGGAAAGAAGAACAGAAATAAGCCTCATCATTCCTCCATTGGAGCAGGGCTGCCTGGCAGGTAAGAGGGAGACAAAGATGAATACCACATTGTCATAATGGAGTGCTGATTGTGTGCCACGTATTGCTCTAAGCCCTGCATTGTCTAATTTTATCCTTATGATGTTCCTGGGACATTCGTCCCATAGCAAATGACAGAACAGGCCTTCAAACTCAGGTCTTTCAGACTTCAAAGCCTAAGCGTATCACGTAATGACAGAAATGCCCTCTGTGTTATTAGGGAGAAAGGAGAAGCAGAGTTGAAGACCCCAGAGACCCCTCTTGTACCTGCAGTTTCTTAATTTTTATGCCCAAACCCTCCCTGACCCCCACAAGCCACAGCACACTGGGCAGACATGGCCCCTGGTCAATCTAATCCATGGCCCTGGGTGGAATGTGCTGGCTGCCATGACCCCATAAGGTGAGGGGCTCAGAGGCCTCTTTTTTTTTTTTTATAATTTTATTTATTTATTTTTTCCCCCAAAGCCCCAGCAGACAGCTGCATGCCATAGCTGCACATCCCTCCAGTTGCTGCACGTGGGACGCGGCCTCAGCATGGCTGGACAAGCGGTGCGCCGGTGCGCGCCCGGGATCCGAACCCCGGGACGCCAGCAGCGGAGCTCGCGCACCCAACCGCCAAGCCACGGGGCCGGCCCTCAGAGGCCTCTTTGATCTCTGTTTGCTTGTCCTGGACTTGGTCTTACAGAGCAGATTCTGGGAAAAGGTTTATTGTCCCCAGGACAGAATGACCTTCTAGCCTGTTTTCTGGCCTTTGTGGAAGATGAGCTGGATCAACATGAAGCTGTAGATTTGAGGTTCTGTTGATTTCCTGCACCAGTACTGACCGAGCCCTGTGGTTGGTTGGGCACAGTGCCAGGCACTGGGACACCTCAATGATGAAACTCGAGTGCCTCACTGTGTTCAGTGAGCTGATGCCTTGAGAAAAGGAGTCAGACAAATCAAAGGAGGCCAGGGAATCCCAGGAGTGGTCAGAAGCTAATGAGGAGCAGGAAGGAGCTGCAGAAATCTGGAAGGGGTGGAGCTCATCTCCCACAGGGCCTTGGAGAAGGCTCCCGGAGGAAGTGCCTGGGAAATAGAGCAGCACTTGGGAAGGGGAAGGTGGGACGGGGAGGGAGAGAAAAGCAGAGGGGTAAACGTGAAGCATGCTTTGGGAAGGTGCAGTGTCTGTGTGATGGGAGCAGGACCTGATGGAGTAGGTGGAAGGAGAGTGGGAAGTGGCAACTTCCCAGTGACAGTGCCAACTGTCAGACCAGTTGGCACAGAGGTCTGACAGTGGCCAGCCTTTTGGTTGGGAAACACTAAAGATATTTTGATCAGGGATGTGGCAAAATTGAGACTGGGATGTTGGAAGATGGCTAGCACCAAGCCTGGTCCATAGAAGGTGCTGGAAACACATTTGTGTGGTCTGGGGAGGAGAGAGGGTATGGGGAGAGCTAACAGTGACTAGTGCCTGGCCTACTTCTCAGCATCTTTTGTATCCTAATTCATTTATTGCTGACAACTAACGACAAGCGATGGATACTATCCTTGTTCCCATGCTACAGATGAAGAGGATAGCTTCCTCCACCCTCTGTGGACGTGGGAGTTGCGGGGATGGGTGGACAGAAAGCAGATGAGGTTGCTGAGGATTGAGCCTGGGGGCTTGAGAGGGTGGCTGTGCTGCTGGGACAACGGGACAGCACATAGGCCCAGACCTGCTCTGAGCTCCATTCACACAGCCAATCGCCTGCTTGACTTTCTCAGGGCCCCTCCATCTGATATGTCCCAACTGGACTCATGAACTTTCTCTCTCCCTGCTGCACCCTATTACCAAGCCTGGTCTTCTTCCCATTGTTGTCCACCCCAATGAAGGCCACCACCATACATCCAGGCATCCGAGCCAGAAAGCAGGGTGGCATCTTGGATGCCTCCCTCCTCCAGACCCTCCACCTCCACCTCCACCCCTCTAAATATCCTTCTAATCCATTCACTTCTCTCCAAATTCCCAGTCACCACTGAGTCTAAGCCACCCTTATCTCCCATCTAGATGGCCGCTTCCCCTACTTCCACTCTGCTCCTACATTCTACTCTCCAGCATCAGCCAGAGTCATCATTTAAAAACGTCAATCTGCCCTAGGCCTTTCCCTGTCTAATACACTTCCAGATCCTGAGTGGATCCCCTCCATTTCACCAGCCCATGGCCCCTCTGGATCTCAGCTTCAACCTAGAGACTTGTTCCCAATTCGTGTAGGCTGGTGCTTTTTCATTCATTCATTCATCAACCCCCAATTCACCCATTCACACCTGCTGTGTGCCAGCCCCATGCCAACTGCTGGGTTTGGGGTGTTGCAGCAGACAGGCCTGACCCAATGCTCAGGGAGTTCACACTGAGTTGTGGAAGTGGAGTCACAAAAGAAGTCCATTGGGCCTTAGCACACTGTCCTCCCTCTGCCTGAAAAAGTTTTCCTTCAAACTTCAGCCCAAGCAATGCTTGCTTGGGGCAACGTCCCCTGGATGCCTAGGCTGGGCCTAGTGTCCTTTCTGCACAGCATTCACCTCACTTGGTAAGGAAAACTGGTTGGTACACTTTATTGATTAATGGCCATCTCCCTCCTTGACTGTAAGCCCTCCAGGTGCAGGACTTTGTCGTGTTCACTTTGTGCCTCCAGGGCAAGGCACTGGCCCTGCACCATGTGGGCCCACACTAAAGGTCTATAGAGTGAATGACAGATTTGAGAAAGAGCATGTTGGGGGAGGTAAAAAGCAGAGGGCAGCAAACAGAAACTTGGGAAACCTCAAACCTAAGGGGAGTATGAGAAATCAAAGGAGAATAGGAGTGGACAGGGGGAGGAGAAGCAGGAAAGCTCTAGAAACCAAGAAAGGAGAGGATTCCCCAGAGGGACAAAGGCTGCTGAGGGGATGAGAGATACATGAAGACTAAGAAAAGCATCTAGGAAATCTGAGTAATTTTCCAGTAAACTTTCTTGGGGGCAGGTGGGTCCAAGTGACTACAGGGGGGTTTAGCAGTGAGCAAACCCTAAGCCTTCTAGAATATTGTTTTGAGTTTCTTAACTTCCCACAGACTCAGTTTCCTTAACTGTAAAATGAGGATAATAGTACCAGCCTCACATGGTTGATTAAATGGACTGATTAAGGATTAAATGGACTCATGTTTTCATCTCTGGGAGCGGGTTGGGGAAGAGGCATGAATTCTGGGGTAATAGTATGCTCTATATTACGCATTCTAAATTGGGGCGATATTGCCCCCAACTGGGCAAAATTGGTTCTTGGATGTAGGCAAAAGAAATCTTAGATTTCAAAGGGACAGATTTCAGGTCCTTGAGAAAGACACTCCTGGTTGTAGGAGATACAACCCCTCAAAGGGACAGTGGAAAGATTTACAATTGTAAGCTTTTTTCAGTAAACGCTCCAGGAAAGGGAGGTGTTGGCTAGAACAAACAATAAATTCTTTTGGCAGCTTTGAGCTTGCACAGGGAGGCCTTTTAGCGGGGACGGGGGTCCTTCTAGGGACACTGCCTTAAGCTGTTAGAAGCTATGCCAGAGTTTGGCCAAGTCGCTTACTGCAGGAATTTGGATGGTGTTCTGATGAGAGTTCTCTGCACTTCTCAATAGGCAGGCTGAAGTGTTGAGGGGTGAGTGTACCGATATACCCAATTTACTTTGAAATGCATACAAAAGAAGATGGATTGCTGGATGCATAGATAGTTAGACGTGTGATAATGCAAACACAACAAATGTTACTTGCAGAGTCTAGAGTCTGTCCTCCACTCCACATCCATTAGAATGTGAGCTCCAGGAGGGCAGGGACTTTGTCGGCCAGGCACATGGTAGGCGGCCAATAAATATTTTTAGAATGAATTAACAATACTTGCAAAGCGCTTAGAACAACTGCTCAATAAGTGGAAGCTTCCGTGACTTATTTTCGCCAGCAACCCGGAAGCTCCTGGCGGTGGAACTGAGGCAAAAGGCGCGCGCAGGGCCCGGCGGAGTCCCTCTGGCTCCCAGGGGCCTCGGCTCTATGGCCGGACCTCCGGGGACGGAGGGACCGCTCTGGCCGCCTGGCGCCTGGGCTCTGTGGTAGAGCCTCCCGGGCCGCCGGAGCATGCGCGGGGCTGCGCCGGGCGGGATCGCTATGGCAGCGGCGTCGCGGTGAGTTCGGCCTCCGCGCTCGCGCCCGGCCCGGGCCGCCTCTGTAGCCACCGACACCGCAGCCTCTCGGGCATGAGCGGGGCCTTCCGCCGCGGCCCGCTGTCCTGCTCGCTCCCACCGCCGCATCCTGACTCTAGGCCCGCGCTGGGAACATGCCCCTGGCCGCCTACTGCTACCTGCGGGCTGTGGGCAGGGGCAGCTACGGGGAGGTGACGCTCGTGAGGCACCGGCGGGACGGCAGGCAGGTCGGCGGGGTTGGGG